AAAGTCAGGTGAGGTGGTGCAGGTGAGGAGGTGCAGGTGAGGAGGCACAGGTGAGCAGGTGCAGGTGAGGAAGGACAGGTGAGGAAGTTCAGGTGAGGAAGCACAGGTGAGGAGGCGCAGGTGAGGAAGCACAGGTGCAGAAACACAGGTGAGGAGGCACCCACTGCTTCCTCCTGGGCTTTGGTTGACCACCTTCCTTTGGAAATATCCCTTCTCTCTCTCTCTCATCCTACAGAAAGCTGCCTCAGCTCAAGACCTGGAAAGGTGTCCCCTCTTGTACTCTGCTCAGCACCATGCTATTAATATCTAGATGCTAATTGTCCTAGTGCAGTCTCTTCATCTCTCTCACTATGCCCTGACTTCTCAGGCACCCAGGACCACGTGCCATACTCGTCTTTAAGTCTTGCAACAGCCTGCACAGTGCTAGGCGCTGGAGGTTGTAGATTAGTTTGCAGTTAGTGAATTACAAAATAACAAGGAACAGAATAGAAACATGTTGCGTTAAGTATTTACCTTCACTGATGACTCAAAAGTCCCATGATTTTGTAGTATTTACAGAACAGTATTATGAATGTTAGTGTTCATTTTTCTGGCGATTATTTAGTTTTGGCTAACAGAGCTCTGACTGCATAAGTATCAGGTCACAAAATATTTACTATGGGTTCATATGATGCAGGAAACCTGTGTCTTTCATGGTTGTTTTTTTGTTTGTTTTTTTTGTTTTTTTTTTTTTTAGCTAAAGCAGTAATTAGAGGTATCTGTAAGAAGAACCCCTTAGCTAATTGTTAAGCTGTACCTGACGTCTCCCGTAATGACGAGCAGTCAGATCCTGATGTCTCCCGTGATGACGAACAGTCAGATTCTGAGGTCTCCCATGATGACAAGAGTCAGATCCTGAAATCCATGACGGTGACATGCGAAAGTCTAATGGATATTCTGCAATGACGTGCCATGGGCTTCTGTTGTTTCACCTCACCCTCACGCGACAAAGTAGTACTCACAGCTGAGAGTTTAGACCTAAGACGGGCAATAAAATTGGGTTCAAATACAGTTGTAAGGGACTTGCCCCAGATTACATAATTCTTTTGTGTAAAGACCAAATTATACAAATCCTCAGATTCCAAGGTCGGGGATTGGAGTTTCTTTCCTATAACATGTTTCTTCAAATATGGTTTTATCCAGGTTTCATATCAAGGGGACCCAGGAAAAATGATGAATAATCAGACAGCATGATATGGACACAAGGTCATGAGCAATCAAGGGTTCGGATAGAGCTATTAGGAAGAGCATGAGGCCCACGAGCAGTAGGAATATTGTTCTATGTATTTATTGGCCTTGTAACTATGGTTTAGAAGTGGTAGGGATCCACAGAGGTACACCTACAGAAAGATTTAAAAGAAGTAAAACTCCCAGCCTCAATGTGGTATCATCCCACCCTTAGTACCTCTATCTCAATCTTGGCCTTCATACACATATCAAGAAACTTTCCCTTCTTGTAATACAAGAACTTTCAGACATTAAAAGCCTTCTCGGGATTCTCTCTCCTCTGTGGCCTCTTCAGCACTGGTATTGGAAGCCATGGGTTGATGTTATATGGCTGAGTGGCTTATCTAGAAATGTCTCCTGGCCCCAGGTCCCTTTTGGTGTAAGTTAGCTTCTTCCCCTGTCCGTACTCAGTCTTAGCTGGTCACTGACTATGTGATATCCTTTCTAATCACTTGGGTCCTACTACAAAAACAAAATAACACAACATAGGGTAAATACATTATTGGGATGGCTAACAATCATCGGACATTTTTCTCTGTTCATTACCTTGAAGAGCATAATGTACTCCCCCAATTCATTTTAAACAAAAAATCTTTAGAATGTAATTAATGGAAGTACTCACTACTGTGGATTGAGTAGTTTTTATATGTTGCCTTACCAGTTTGCTTAAAGGGGCAATGTCTTTCCTTATTCTCAACCTTTACAAAATAGTGTACAGAGAACATGCTTAAAGAGTGTGTAATCCCAGTACTTAAGAGGCTGAGGCAGGTGGACTGCCTGAGCCCAGAAGTTTGAGACTAGCCAGTGCAACATAGCGAGACCTGTCTCGACAAAAAATTTAAAAATTAGCTGGGTGTGGTGGTGTGAACCTGTAGTTCTAGCTACTAGGGAGGCTGAGATGGGAGGATTGCTTGAGCCTAAGAGATCAAGGTTGCAGTGAGCTGAGATAGCACCACCGCACTCCAGACTGAGCGATGGAGCAAAACCCTGTCTTGCAAGAAAGAAAAAGGAGTGTGTCACTTATAACATTCAGACTCAGCTCATAAAATCCAAAAGAAAGTGGAGTTTTGAGAGTGTTAAAATGTACCACTGAGGGAACAACTAGAAAATGTGGAAAATCTTTCTCTTTTTGTTCTATCATTGTACACTATAGCTACTGGTGATAGTATTAAGGCGTATTTTACAATTAATATTTGGATTCGATCACAGGGCTCATACTCTCTTATCTTCCCCTCTCACAAGTTTTACCATAAGAGTTTTGTGGTAGTTTGAGGAACTCAATATAGCTGCAAGTATTTCGCTGGAATCTACTATGATCTGTGTCACTTGAGGCACAGTATGAGCTCATGTCATTCCTTGGATGACATGCACCCCTCCCCTAGCTTAGTATTCCCACATTTAGTCATCCTCAAATTCGCTCAGCTACCTCCAGTGGAGTGGGTTCCAATCTCAATGGCATCTCACTAGCTCCCCGGTCACATTGCCCATTTGCAGTGATGGTATTTATAAAAGGTGATTTCTTTTGTCAGGGTCTGCACCACTATAAAATTAGTCTTTTGAACCAGAAATTTCAACAGCTTAGCTACTTTAAAAAGTGTGTCTGCTGCTACTTCAAGCAGTTGACTGTGGAACTGGCTTCTGATTTTAAAAGATGAGTGAAAGATGTGCCGTGGTTTCCTCTGCAGAATGTTCAGATCAGAAGGCCCCTGGAAGACCGTGCCTGAAACGCGGCTAAGGCACCACGAAGCTGAACAGAAAATGGGGCCTTATCAGAGAGAAGGGAAGGGCCCCACAGTCCAAACGCCCAGGAGGCTCCGCCCTGACCCGTGGTGGCACGTGTTTGCTGCAGGACCAGAATCTGGGGAAGACTCAGTGAAGAAAATGGCCTGGCTAGGCCAGGAAGAGCAGTACACAGAGACCCGCAGCAGAGAGAGGAATAGGGGGACCCTGCCCCGGGAACCACCCTGGCTGAGGCTCAGGAGGGGAGCTGCGAAGCCTGAAACACATCGATGATGGCTGGTGATGAAAACATGCGGGCGGACCTGCTTTGATAGCGAGATGGACAGGTCTGAGCTCACACATCCTCGGGATAACAAATAAAACCCTGTGGAAATGAACATGAGATACTGGGCCTCATTCCCCAACCTGTAGAGATGACTGAGAAAGGCTTCCAGAAACTCGAGGACGTTACAACTTCCAGCTGGGTCAAACTTCTCAGGGTGCTGTGAGGCCAGGGTAGAGACACGCCCTGGGTGACCCAGGGATGACGGAGTCTCTGGAGCATGGAGACACCGTGAAGATGGGGATGGAAGCTGCCTGCCCCACGGAGAGGGAAGGGGGGCCGGCCACGTCTCTCCCCACGAACAAAAACCATGAGGTACCTGAGAGGAGCACAGAAAAGAACACAGCCTTCACACACCTCAGGACACACACACACACACAACCCTCACACACCTCAAGACACACATACACAAACCTCACACACCTCAGGACACACACACGCACACACAACCCTCACACACCTCAGGACACACACACGCAACCCTCACACACCTCAGGACACACACACACACCCCTCACACACCTCAGGAAACACACACAAAGCCCTCACACACCTCAGGATACACACACGCAACCCTCACACACCTCAGGTCACACACACACACCCCTCACACACCTCAGGACACACACACAAAGCCCTCACACACCTCAGGATACACACACGCAACCCTCACACACCTCAGGTCACACACACACAACCCTCACACACCTCAGGACACACAC